ATGGGCCTTAGGAAGTCTGAGCAACAACAAAGCTAGTGGACGTGACAATATTCCAGCTGAGCTATTCAAAATCTTAAAAGACGATGCAGTAAAAGTGCTACACTCAATATGCCAGCAAATTTGGAAAACTCAGCAGTGGCCACAGGATTGGAAAAGGTCAGTTTACATTCCAATCCCAAAGAAGGGTAATGCCAAAGAATGTTCAGACTACCGCACCATTGCACTCATTTCACATGCTAGCAAAGTGATGCTCAAAATCCTACAAGTGAGGCTCCAGCAGTATGTGGACCGAGAACTACCAGAAGTACAGGCAGGATTTCAAAGAGGGAGAGGAACTAGAGATCAAATTGCCAACATACGCTGGATCATGGAGAAAGCTAGGGAATTCCAGAAAAACATCTACTTCTGCTTCATTGACTATGCTAATGCCTTTGATTGTGTGGATCACAACCAATTGTGACAAGTTCTTAAAGAGATGGGAGTACCTGACCATCTTATTTGTCTCTTAAGAAACCTATATGTGGGTCAAGGAGCAACAGTGAGAACTGGGCACAGAACCACTGATTGGTTCAAAATTGAGAAAGGAGTTTGGCAAGGCTGTATGCTGTCACCCTGCCTATTTAACTTACATGCAGAGCACATAATGAGAAAGGCGGGACTGGATGAATCACCAGTTGGAATTAAGATTGCTGGGAGAAATATCAACAACCTCAGATATGCAGATAATACCACTCTCATGGCAGAAAGTGAAGAGGAACTAAAGAGCTTCTTGATGCAGGTGAAGGAGGAGAGCACAAAGGTTGGCTTGAAACTCAACATCAAGAAAACTAAGATCATGGCATCCGGTCCTCTCACTTCCTGGCAAATAGATGGGGAACAAATGGAGGTAGTGACAGATTTTACTTTCCTGGGCTCCAAGATCACCCCAAACGGGGACTGCAGCCAAGAAATTAAAAGACGCTTGCTCCTTGGGAGGAAAGCTATGGCAAATCTAGACAGCATACTAAAAAGCAGAGACATCACCATGCCGACAAAAGTGCGTATAGTCAAGGCTATGGTTTTCCCAGTTGCAATGTATGGCTGTGAAAGCTGGACCATAAGGAAGGCTGAGCGCCAAAGGATTGAGGCCTTTGAATTGTGGTGCTGGCGGAGACTCCTGAGAGTCCCTTGGACAGCAAGGCGATCAAACCGGTCAGTCCGAGAGGAGATCAACCCTGACTGCTCTTTAGAAGGCCAGATCCTGAAGATGAAACTCAAGTACTTTGGCCACCTAATGAGAAGGAAGTACTCCCTGGAGAAGACTCTAATGCTGGGAACAATAGATGGCAAAAGAAGAAGGGGACGGCAGAGGATGAGGTGGCTAGATGGAGTCACTGAAGCAGTTGGTGTGAGCTTAAGTGGACTCCGGACAGGAAGGCCTGGAGGAATGTTGTCCATGGGGTCACAATGGGTCAGACATGACTTTGCGACCTACAACAACAACAACAAGGGTATGAATAGCAATGATGAAATCTACATATAAACTGAAATAAATAGAAATCAATTTAGAGATGGATATTTCTGTAATTCATTTCAGTATGTCTACTGTAAGCAGAATTTATATAGAAGCTTGCTTTATATTGTTCCCCTTTTTGTTTTTGAATAGAAAAAGTTATTGCAAATTTCAACAACATAAAACCATTAAAAGAAAAGAAAAAAGTAGCTGCATCAATTTGAGGGTATTAATTATGATTAATAGACATGAAATTAATCTGACTAGGATGAAATGACATACACATAAACTAAGAATCTGTAACTTGATTCTCATCCATTTCAGTTCTACTTTAGGACTCAGGTTGGACTTCAATGTCACATTTCACAACTTTTGTCTAAATGCAATGCAACGTGGGTGCAGAATCAGGAAGCCCATGGTGCGCTCTGGGTAACATTATACAGTGTAGCAAAAGTGATCTCACCATGCATCTTTTGCAATCTAAGGTGCTTGTTTTCAGGCCAGAGAATGAGTGTTTAGGTAAATGAAGACCCACATACTTTCTAACCGAATACCCTATTGAAAATAGAGGTGTGCGTGCAACATTATTTTCACAGCAGGAATCATTGTTTGAGCTCTTGCCCACTTCCAGGTAGCTAAAGGCATGCTGGATTCATTTGTTCCTCAATAACTCGTCCTGTTCTGATTTAAAAAGCAGAGATACATTGGAGATTGCTCTTCTGGAGAGCCTGGGGTGTGGTGGCTGAACCGTGAAGTCAAATTAAATTCATTGGTTCAGTTTGGGCAACCGTCTCTTAGGATGTTTGATTCTGTGCACCTTCCCTTCATGCTGTGAGCCAGCAACCCAGGAAGCCTCTAATTAGCCAGTGCTTTCCAATTCATCCAAACAAGTTGGAGTAGATTCTCAATTGTTCCCGAACTAGCAACCCTAGTGAAGCGCTTTTCTCTTTCAGAAAGGGAGGAACAATGGAGTTGTTTGTACAGTCAAAGAGTCATTCACATCTTGGGGTATCAACTAATTTGTTTAATTCAACATACAATTGTACAAACACAGCCTTGCTAATGTGATTTTAACAGGACAGTTTCAAAAAGAAAATGCAACTTCAGGGACTCAAAAACTGAGACTGTCCCAGATAGATAGGGATAGCTGGAGCACAGAGACGTGGGGATATACAGTGGTACCTTGGCTCATGAATTTAATCCATTCCAGGACTCTAGTTGTGACCCAAATTGGTCATGAGCCAAGTTAATTTTTCCCATAAGGTTCAATGTAAATAAGGTTAATCAGTTCTGCAACTATTTTTTTTTAATCAGAAAAATGTGAAGCAAAGTGACAAAGAACAACAAAGATTGCGGCCATCTCCCCGCCCACCCCCAGCATCCCTCCCTGCGCCCATCATTTCGGCATGCTGGGGGCGGGGACCAGATGGGCACGATCGCGGGCATGCTGGGTGGGGAGAGACAGGCACGAACGTTGGTGTGTTGGGGGGCGGGGAGAAGGGTGTGAATGCGGGCAGGTTTGGGGGAGACAAGTGTGATCATGCTGGGGGAGGAGATGGCAGAGATCAAGGTTGTACTCATGCAGGAAAGACAGGTGCAATTACGCGCGTGCTCGTGCAGGGAAGTCAGACACGATCTGGCTGTCTTCCCCCCTACCCCCGCCCCCAGCACAATCACGGCCATCTCTCCACTTGGGGGGTGGGGAGATGGCTGTGATCACGGTTGCCACCCAATGAGGAGTTCGCGACCTGAGTCAAAATTTTTATGAAAGTTTTGTTCGTGACCCAATTTGGTCGTGAACTGAGGCGTTTGTGAGCTGAGGCACCACTATATTATGAAGTTTGTCAGTAGGAAAACCAGGTGAGATGAGGGAGGAGTAGGCCAAGTATTGGATGTTGCTCAGCTGTGCTTGCTTAGCCAGTGGGTGGAGTGGAGGGCTAGCTGTTGGGTGGAACAACCCACAAAATGTCTAATCCCAAGGCCAGATAACCTGTCATTGGCAATGCTACAAATATCTCTTGGTTTTGGAGCAGGAAGTTAGAGAAGGATCACCATTTTATTGGGTCTTGGGTGTCAAAAACTCCAACAAATTTGGACAACTCTGTTGCGATCACTTTATGGATACATCAGTATATTTGTGGTCTCCACTTGGCTTTCTCCCCTCCCTAGGCTGAAACACTGGTTGAGTGGGTGGACCCCAATGCCGAGAGGAATATTCCAGTAGGGTGGATCATAGCAGCAGTGCTGACGGGACTTCTGCTCCTCACAGTCACCATGATCATTCTTTGGAAGGTAAGCGAAGCGCTGGGGCAGGCAGAGCCAACCACAGAGGTGACGTGGCCCCCTGGATTCCAGGGCTGCCTGCCTCTTCAGGTGTACAGACATTCTGCAGAGGGAGACCTTGCTTTTCCTTTTTGGGGAGAAAGACAGGGGCACTTCAATGGTTCACAAACTGGGGGGTATCCCACCTATTCTGGAGAGGCAATGGAATGGAAGCTTTGTGATGTCCATCACTCACCGGGAACACAGATAGAGTCATAAAGGGGAGGAAATGATGACATTGAAAATGAAGATGAGAAAATGTAAATGATAAAGGTAGATATTCTCTGTTTTGCTGATAGAATAGAGCATGTGATGGCAAAGCACATTCAGACAATCCTGAATAATTCTATTAATCCTGAATAATTCTATTTTCACCTGACTTTAAGGGAGGACCAGTAGCTCAGAGGTAGAGTGCATGCTTTGTATGCCAAAAAGCCCAGGAGAAACTCCTTCTGAAACCCTGGAGAGGTGTTGCCAGTAAGAGTGGACAATACTGAGCTAGGTAGCTTGCAAGCTTGCAAGGGGATAATGCAGTTTTGGTGGGTTTGCTTGAGCATGGCAGCTCTCAGTACTGTGGATCATCGAATCATAAAATAATGGAGTTGGAAGGGACATATCAGGCTCCCTCCTCAATGCAAGACTCCAGTCAAAGCATCCCTGACAGGTGGCTGTCCAACTGCCTCTCAAATGCCTCCAGTGTGTGAAAGCCCACAATTCCCCATGGTAATTCATTCCGTTGCCATACTGCCCTAATAGTCAAGAAGTTTTTCTTGAAATCCAACTGGGAGCGGGCCCTTTATTCCATGTCCTGCATTCTGGGATGATTGAGAAGAGATCCTGGCCCTCCACTGTGTGGCAGCCTTTCATATATTCATATACCCAAAAAGTGCTATCATAACTCCCTCAAACGTCTCTTCTCAAGGCTAAACATGCCCAGCTCTTTCAATCTCTCCCCTTTAGGCTTTGTTTCCAGTTGCCTGATCATCTTTGTTGCCTTCTTCTTAACTTTTTCCAGATTGTCTGCATCTTTCTTGAAGTTTGGTGCCTGAAACTGTGCATAGTACTCAAGATGGGACCTAACTAGTGGTTAGGGGAGGGGAGCCAGTGCATAGAGGGGAGCCAGTGCCTCACATGATTTAGAAGCTATACTACTGTAAATGCAGCCCAATATAGCATTAGCTTTTTTTGCATCCGCATCACATTACTGACTCATATTCAGCCTGTAATCTATAACAATTCCACATGCCTTCTGACCTGCAGTAATTGTTGAGCCAAGTATTCCCCATCTTATACTGGTTCCCTTTCCTAGATGTAGAACTTGGCATTTGTCCCTACTGAATTTCACACCATTATTTTCAGCCCACTGCTCCAGCCTATCAAGATCACTTTGAGTGTTATTTTTGTCTTCCAGGGTATTAGGTATGCCACCAAATGTTGTTGCAAATCTGGCCAGCATTCCCTATACCTCAAAATCCAAGTCATTAATAAAAACATTGAAGAGTGCTGGGCCTAGGACTGCCCTGTGGTACTCTACTAGTCACTTCTCCCCAGTCTGAGGAGAATCCTTTTGATCCATTGTGTACTATGCAATAAGGAAGTGGAAAATATGGATGCATTGATTTTCACATGCTACTAGGTGGCCTCCTCTCACTTCCCAGAATCCCTTAGGCATGTGCAGATTATCTTCACCAGCTCCTGACACAGTTTTCACTTGGGGTGTCTAGTCTGGCTGTCTAGATGGTTCTTGTCTGATTGGATAGAAATTGAGGATGCAGCTTCAGTCCTTGAACACTTTCTCGTAGATCAAGCCTTACAGGAATTGGTTTTGCTGCTTAACATATTTGGGAAGCCATTAGGACACATCATCCAGAGTTTGGAGTGAGATGCTGTCAATTTGCTGATGAGACCTAGTTTCAGTTACTAAACATCTCTGTCCCAGCTCAGGGTCTGGAGGCCATGGCCTAGTGAATGTGGACTGAATGAGTGAAGTCTAGATAAGTCACAGGTGATGCTGGTAAGCTCTCCCCAAACCTTGGAGAAGGTATACTTTGACTGGGTTGTAATTTGCTTGCTGGAACACATTTGAAGTCTGGGGGTTCAAAGCTCTGCTTTTTGATAAGCGGGTTATGGCAGTTCTTAAGAGTGCTACAGAAATGGATCTGACATCTCATCAAGAATTATGAATCTTCCATAAATACAGAACAGTGCTTAAGTTCAATCACTCTTTGTCCCAAAGATGAAACAAGTTTTTTTAACAGCTCACTAACTGAGCTGGCTGATGCAGTGTGATGTTAGAGCAATTATCCTGGGCAACTCCAACATTCATGCACAGATGAGATGGTCTCCTTGACAACCATGGAGTTGGCTCAAATTAATCATTCATTCAGCAGGACACACCATCCATTTGGACTTTGCCTCAAGGGGGAAGCAGTTTGATTTGGATATAGAAGGCACTGTGGTGACTTGGTTGTTACATATGATCAGACCACATGATCAATTTATTTCATAGCATCTGTTCCCTGGTGTGTGAGAGGTGGGGAGGGGGCACTGAGGTGTTTTGCCCTTGAAGACTGATGTAATTGAATTCCTGAATTCTCTGAGGGATTTTCCAGAGCTGGTAACCCTTTGATGGCCTTAGCCTCACTATGGAATGGAAAGCAACATGAGCAAGAGGTCTCTTGAGCTTCAGGTGGTTCCCTAGTCCTCTGAAGAACTCAGACCAATGAAACTGGATGGGTGACAACCAAAGTACTGGTGGTGTAAGACTCAATGTGAGGCCCACCAAACATGTGTTAGAGGAACATATCATACTGATTGCTTGACAGTGAGGGCTGCGAAGAAAGCTTAGCTGCTGCCTTAATTACATCCCTGAACACTCTTCTGCGTAGCACAGGCATTTGGAGGTTTTCTTAATGGTGGTTTGTATACTTGTAGCTCTTTTACCCACCATATTGCTTCTCAACCCTCACTAACCATGGGGGCTTGACTGGGTGAGTCCAGGGAATGGTGAGTGTATCTCCATCATGAGGGGTGGCCCCTGCTGCCCTTAAGGAGGCATTGGTACAGCCATCCCTGGGGGAAAAACCACTCCTGGATCCAAAGATTTATCACGACTGCTCACCAGGGGTGATTATCCCCTTTTGGGACAAATTGTTTGAGAAGGTGGTGATAACTCCAGCACAGGCATGATTGGAGCATGTTGTTCATCTAGATGTATTCCTGCCTGGATTCTGGTCCAGTTATGAGATGAAATCGGCCTCAGTTGCCATGATGGACAACCTTACCAGGAGAGGGACAAAGGGGCTATCACTCTGTTAATCTTACTTAGAGCCTTTTGATAGCATCAATTGTGCTGTCCTCTTGGATTGACTCTGCACTGAGGGCAATGTGTTAGGGTGGTTCAGCTCTGATCTGCAGGACAGGTCCCAGGGAATAGTCCTAGGAGACTGTACATCAGGGGACTGCATATCTTAGCGTTCTTGCTGTGGGTGCCACACAGTAATATTTTGTCTCCAGTGCTGTTCACTGTCCATTTGAAGCCATTGGGTACAGTCATTAGGGGATCTGTGTCTAGGTGCTTTCAGTATGCTGGTGACACCCAGCTCTATTTCTTAGTGTTAGCAGGTCTTGAGGAAGAAGTCAAAGCCTCCTTGATCCACTGCTTTTATCAGCTTGTCCAAAGTCAATAAGTGTTTTAAGACAGATTTTATTGGGACGACTGTCCTAGTTCCATACACTGGCAGTCTGCTTAAAGGGATTAGTTCTCCATAAACAACAACAGAGTAATCTCTGCCATTCAAGGGATGGATCTCCTCTTCCCTGAGAAACAGTCCTTGCCTCTGCAATATCCAAGGAAGGTATCTGCACTCAGCCTCACCCTGCCGACTGCTTCTCAGACAGTGCCCCTGGCTGTTTTGCCTCTAATATGCAATTCCATCCAAGCCAGCACCTCCTCCTACCCCCAAGAGTCAAACCAGTAGGTTGCTCAGTCAGCCCTGGCAGTCCAGGGTTATAGAAAGGAGGGTGGAAAGCCTTTATTTCCCTTAGGGAAGCAGGCTCTCTGGCCAGCCTGATCTTAAACAGACTATAATTTGATTCTTTGCCCCAGTCAGGCACTGCCCTTGCCTCACAATATGTATATTTTCCTCCTCTTTCTAAGTTCTTTCCTCCTCCGTTCCCCTGCCTTGCCTTCCTCACTCTCCTTCTCTGCCTCCTTCCTCTGTCCCCTTTCAGTTAGGCATCTGTTCGTCACCCTCCTCCTTGCTCTCCATCTTCCTTCTATTCTCCCCGCTTATCCATGACTTGCTTCACCATCCCTTGCATCAGGGGATGCTCATTTGGGCTGATGGAGCAAGCTGCAAGGGAGCAAAGACTGGTGGCATCTTCAGCTCAAGCCCACCATCCACAGCTGTCCTGTGCTTGCCCTGGGAAACCCAACAAAGCCGCGGTGACTTGCTGAGCACTTGAAGCTCTGATAACGCCTCACGCATGGTTACGGGTGAACCTAAGCGCATAGCCTAGGTCAGTGCTGGAATACAGTGGTGGGCTGGATGGGGGCTCATAAACTGAACCAGAATCCTAATAAGATGGAGGCATTGTGGGTAAGTTATTTCCAGGTCTGAAAACTGAGGCATTACCAGCTCTGTATGCAGTTGCCTGCCCCCTGTTTGCAGTTTGAATGTATTTCTGGGTCCATCACTGTCACCGGAGGCCCAAGTCACTTCTTTTATTGCAGAACAGATGTTATGCACATGCATCAGGAAGAGTGAGCTATGGAAGGCTTTTGCCAGCTTGGTGAGTCCTATTTCTTACCTTTCCTCATCTTCCTCTCACTCTCTCTGTTTACAGATGGGCTTTTTCAAGAGAAAGCGGCCACCTACAGAGGAGGAGGAAGAGGAGGAACTGACCAATGATCCTGGGGAACAGCCATCTGGGGAGGGTCAGTAATGGGTGATCAGGCTCCTGCTACATGGAGCCACCTCTTTGTGGTGCCAAGAAGATGCCAGTCAGATTCCACATCTTGTGTGACTATTGATCCATTGCTGTCACCATCCACCCCTCAGGACACCCCTTTTGCAGGCTGCACCCTCTTGCTAAATTGATGCCAGCAATAAACATCAGCCACAGCTGTAGTGTTTAAGGAGTTTCTAATTTCTGAGCACCACAGAAGTACTTTCCATCCTCACAAAGCATGGATAGGTCTGTAAAAACATGCACAGTCCAATAGATATGTAGGGAAACAATCAGATGACCAGCACATCCATACCCCAAAATGTGTATAATTGGTGCAAGAGTTTCTTTTTTTAATGGTAGCTATGATGCAAATACCACTTCTCTGATGCCACGCTTCCGTTTCACCTGCAAAAGTCTCATCAGCCACTGCTACAACATTCCATCATTTTAATTTTCTTCAATGCATAGATTATTAAATGTCTTATTCGTTATGTCCAGAGTCACAAATTCATCAAATCTAGAGCTGTTCCAGTAATTAGAATCCAGTTGTTTTGAAAAGTTCACCTCTCCATTCCAAGGCAATCTATAGCAAGAGATTTTGCTTGCAAGCGTGTATGTCTGTATCTCCTTTTCCCATTGGTCAGTTAATGGTATATGCCATCACTGGCATCCTTTTGCTGAAAGATGTGTACTGCAGTTAACACATGTATCACCACATACCTCTTAAGAGGCTCATCTTTAACACGCCCCAAGAGTGTAATGGTAAGGTTAACTTATAATCCAAACACCCTATTTATTTTTATCTTATAGTCACAGTCCAGTACTACTTAAACAGGCTACTACAATTGGCACCATATATGTATAAATAACCCCATTCTATGCCTGTACTATACACGTATACTGTAGCCTTGATGTCTACAATGGCCCAAGGCACACGACAGACTGACTCTGAGAAAGCCGAGAGACAGTGGTGTAGTTATGGATTCTGGACTCTAACGGAAATGAAGAGCAGACTGTAGTTTCCACTCTAGTTTAAAAGACTGGTACTTTCATGCTGCATTCCCTGCTGGTGAGCAAAAGGAGTTCTAAGGTCTCCTAGTTAACAGCAAAACTACTAAGTTCAGAGGGAATAAGTTAAGGAAGATGGTGGTAACTGGAGCAGCTCTGAAGATCTGGGGTTCACGTCAACTCTGTCCATGGTCCTATTCATTCCAGTAGGTCTACTTTTAGGATCCATGCTGGATTTTTTAATTGTTTCCCTGAATTGCAGTAACTGATACCAAAATAAATCCTTGATTATAAGAAAATTCATACCAGTGTCTTCAGAACAAGGGTTGGTTGGTTGATCTGTATGTTGTTTGTTGGTTTGTTGGATTTATAAACCACACTAGATAGTCCCACAAAGGACTCCCTGTATCAAGTCTGGTATAATTTTACTGTTACCTGTGAAAGCTGTGGAGTTGAATAAGACATTCCACATAGGTTTTGCTTAAAGTAAATGTTGAGAATTAAAACTGAGAATACTAATTTAAGTGCCAATCATTTCAATGTGTCTATGTAGGATTCTACCACCAAACATTTTGTGTTGCAAACCTTTCTAAATTATTCTTGTGGTAGAAGTTTATTTGTAAGAAAATTGGTATTGCTGACTTAAGTCCAAGTCAATTTCAAAGTTTGATGTCTACTGTTATCTAAAACAAATGAAAAATGTAAAGCTAACATTCAAACAATGTCATAGTTAGGGCAGATCCACTGAAATGAATAATTATGAAAGGAGCAATTGAGACATTAGAAGAATTAATGCAACATATAGTTATAGAAGACTTGAAATGCTAGATGCCACATTAGATAGAAGTGGAAGAGTAGTATGAGGTGGAAAGGTGCCAAATGATTTAGCAAAGAGACTTAGCAATAGAGTTTTAACAGATATTTAACAGCTGGGTGCAAGTATCCAAAGCCATAACTTTTATACTCCAAGATCTAACATCAGCTGAAGGATTTATTACCTTTAAACTACCTGCTGTTCAACAATACTAGAAAGCCAGGGTCTAACCCCATCTCTGATCACACCTCACTGAACGTAATGCTTGCACTTCTAGACAAGCAATAAGGGCATATGCTTGGTGACGCAGTCCTAACGTCATAGTTAAATGGGAAATACTGATTAGTCAAAGGAGAAAATTAAAACCTACCCTATATTTAGCTCCTAATATAAAGAAAAAGTAGTACGGGATGCAATGAATAAAGTAACAAAGCAATTGTGTGTCCAATAATTCATTTCATGTCTATACTAGCCTTTCCTAAAATACTAAAATATAAAAACAAAGACATCTAAGAAATATAATAAAGAATAGACCTTATAAATACTTAGGACAGGTAATTCTCTCAACCCCTTGAATACCCATCTATATCTGTGAAGGCCTTGGAATCATGACCTGGCACCAAAAGGACAGCAAGGTTAATGCCAGTCAAGCCTCAATGGGGAGGTCATTCCATAGTGGAAATTGCCCCTGTTGCTGCCCTCCAAGTCTCCCCTGAAGTGGGCATTCAGAGGAAAGCCCTGGCTGCGGACCTTCATGTCCAAGCAGTATGCAGTTGGAAGAGCTGCTCTGTCAGGTATTGCAATCAGGAGCCCTGGAGGCCTTTGGGGGTTAAAACCAGCCCCTTCGATTGGGCTTCGAAGCATCCAGGAAGGCAATGCTAGCAGGCCAGAACTGGTCTCATATGTTCAGACACACATATCCCAGTTATTTGTGTATAAAGCCAGCACTGTACATGCACACAAGACGGTTATCAGGCAAACCCTTCTTGCTGACCTATTTAAACTGTGTCAGCTCTGCGTTATGAATAGAAGGTACATACAACCGGAGCACAGGACCAGGGGTGATGAGGTAGATGGCGGCCCTGGCCAGATGCAGCAGGGCCAGAGGCAAGTACAAGCAAGGCAGGACCAGGTATGAATCAGCAGCATGATCAGGAACATGAAGCAGCTACCACAAAAGTTTGTGTTGCTTTGGCAAAACTCGAGTGGCCATTCATAGCACCTGCTGTTGCTTCCAGCCAGCTGCACTTCTAATTTTTGCAAGCACCTACAGGCCTGGTAGCAGCCCTGCAAGTATGGGCAAGGTGAACCAGTTGGCCCGCTCTGTCAAACTACAGGAGGAGCTGCATTGCTCTGCCAGGGAATCAGATATATTTATTTATTGGATTTTCAACCTGTCCGTTAGTCAGAATGGCTCTCTACTTGGCTTACAGAATATAACAAGAGAAATAACAAAAAAATAATATTAAAACTGAGTAAATCACAAAATGACTCGGTACAAATAAAAATGATTAGGAAAAAGAAATGAATTAAAGGCTTTTGAAGAATATATAACGATATCTCTGAAAAGGCTATATTATGAAAGTAGGAACCACAATTCTGAATTACTTGCAAGAGCCCTAACAAATAAATGAAATAGACATTTTACTTGGGCAGTAGAAGATAAAGAGCAGCACATGTATTGCAAAGTATCAGAAATAAACATGACATTTGCTACACTTGATTAGAATTTGTATAGGACTGACAACCCAGATCCCAAGGAAATAGAAACATACTAAGACAAATTAACATAAAGCTGGTATCTCTTCAATATGAAAATCACTCAGTTTCAGAGCATGAAATTAAGATGGTGATAAAGCGAATGGCAAAAGGGAAAACGCCAGGACTCAGCAGGGAATTGGTTCAAGTGATGGGAGAGTTTAGTTCCCAAGCTGGCAAAGTTTTTTAATAACATCTTGAAAGGCTCTCAAGGACATGGAAAGAGATTCACTTAATAGGCCTATTAAAGCAAAGGAAAGACCATCTGTCAATTGGAAGCAAGCAGGGTAAAAATGAATGTTTAAAAACAAAAGTCCTTTGTGAAAGACAACCCACAAGATAGAAAGAAAAATAAAACGACTGATTCCCAGAGTTATAGTGCAATCTTATCCCTCCCGCCCCCGATCCGGCTTCGCAGATGCAAGTAACCCTCCAGTGCAAGGCGTGAGGCTCTGAAGCTCCTTGCCAAGGGAGGATGGGCCAGTTTCCCCTCTGCTGTTCTTGCTAAAGCATAAAGACATTTGCAGTCATACAGGCTTTTGGTGTGTGAGCTGGTCGGGTGGGTTGGGTGCCATTTTTATTCTGTTTCTCTTGTGTACTCGAGTGTGACAATGTATTTGTCTCAGTATCACTTGTTGCCTATTTTTCTATTTCCTGTTATGGTAAGCTGCCAAGTGTCATTCTTTGCAGAAAGGTGGGGTACATATCAAATAAATGTGTAGCTACATACAGCATTCGTCAACACTGAAGAAGAATGCTCGCAGATGTGTAGTTTTGCAATTTAATTAATAGCACCACCATGACCACTGGAATACCCCGAGTTTGCTTTTGCTGCCCTGAACCCATGATCCCAAGCTACTCTAGCTGGGTTTGTCATTCAGAGTCCCTTTTGGCCATAGGGCTCAGGATTTGGACCCCCAGACCCTGCTCTGAACTCACCATTGTTGCTTCTATCCCACTACTTGACTGTATGTACTCTTGGTTCCTCTCTTCCCACCCTCTTTTGATTAGACTTATTTGTGAACCCTTCTTGTTTTACCTGTAATTGCACAGCAGCTTTCCAGGAAGATTTGAGAAGAATGAACTAAGGGCATGGACTCATAATTTATAACCTTGAATTCAGTCTTTGCTTATATCCGTTCGCCCTCCTTTGACACCATGCCTTTTCCTATGAGTGCTTGTCCACTCCAGGTCCAGGTCCTCCTGTCCTGAAACATCCACAGGGCCTTCTCCCATCTGCAGGTTACACTCTTGTATCTTGCAACATTGTGACTCCTTGCCTTTACTGCTATGATTTTCCTATTTGTTTTCTTCACCAACTTGAAAGGGGATCCCCAGCAGCATGATTCCCAGATTCCTCAGTGGTCCAGTGAAGCATTGGAAAGCTCTCTTTCACTGCAGGATGTCTTATCTTACAATAGATACTAAGAAAAAAAACTCTCAGTGTGCTAAGCGACATAAGTTGTTTAGTGCCCGATATATTTTTCTTGGTTTGTGCATCTAGCGAAACTTACAATTTTGTTAAAGCAGTAGCTCCAGTGTCTTCTAAATAGCATTCTCCAATCATTCTTTGTGTAGGCATTTCTCCTTAATCCAGGATACTAAATGCTCAGTTGCACCTAGCAGTCTTCCATCTGTTCTGTCATACTTCTAATTCTGTATCTTCTTCATCACCTATTTTCACATGCAGGTTCCTAGACACTTTTGACACTTGCTCTAACTTCCCTTTCAGCTTCAGACCTTCTCCCCTGCAACACTGGCACTGTTACACCTGTCAGCTTCCAGTCTGCCTCCTAAGTGGCTTGTAAAGGCAGTAATTCATACTGGGGGAAGGACCCTGCCAGTCAAATGCCCCAGAGACCCAAGCCTGTGTCGCCTGCAAGCTGCTGCATGCCTCCGGGGTCCTTTTCCCCTCTTCCCTGTACAATAATACCTTGGTTCATGAACGCTTCTGTTTGTGAACAATTTGGTTTGTGAACAGAAAGTTTGGCAAAATTTTGCTTCCGTTCACAAACTCTGCATTGGGTGACGAACACGATCGCGGCCATCTTCTCTGCACTGCGACCACGTCAGAGCATGTTCGAGTGGGGAAGATGGCCGTGATCGTGTTCATGCAGGGAAGAAGGCCACGTTCGTGTTTGCATGAATACGCGTGGTCGCGGCTTCCTCTAGTTGAGATTGCAGTCGTAGACTCTCCCTCCAAACAATAACCTCCTCCCTACCCACCTTCCCGTCCTCCACGCCAGAAGCTGCCTCAAGCAAGATTTGTGTTCTCGCTCTTCATACTGTACTGCACTTTGCTTCATATTTTTGTGGTTAAAAAAAATTACATATGGTTCAGAATGAAGTAACCTTATTTAATTGAACCTTATGGGGAAATTTGACTCAGTTTGCAACCAATTCACTTCGCAACCAGAATCATGGAACGAATTAAGTTCATGAACTGAGGTACCACTGTATCTTCTCTCTTCTTTCTCTGCTCCCCAGCACTGCCTTTGATGAAGTTTGGCCTTGCTCTGCCTCTGATCCCAATTTTGTTAAGCACAGAGATTACAGTAAGAAAAGCACGTTAATGGGACTGCCAAAAGTCAGTTTCTGGAGTTCATTGTTTGACCCTGCATACATAAAAGCAAATACGGTGGAACTTTTCCAAAAAAGCACTCATACTTGAACAGCTCGGGAGCAGAAGGCCTCTGTTCAAGCAAGGTTTGGTCACTTGTGTGAGTGACTGAGTGTCATGAACTGTCCTTATCAGTGCTGTTGAGTTAGCATCTGCCAGAAGGCCGTTTTCTGCCTTTTTAAAGGCTTGTCTTGAACCTCATATTTTGCTAAGGTTTGAGGTGGGGGTATTTAAGGATCTGGGCTCTCTAATTGTTTTTAATGACTAGGGCTCTTTTATTATTTTTTAAGGATCTGGGCTCTCTTATTATTTTTTCAGGCTTGGGGTGCCTTCTGTGCTTTGTATTCTTTTTTTCTAGGGCTTGAGCTGGTCCCTGAGCTCCTTGATAGCCTCTGGGCTCTGTAATATTTCATCAACGCGTATGCCTTGTGGTGACCTCTAGATATTTTTTAAAATCTCCTCTCCATCTTGGCTTTGCTCCACTGATCCGTATATTATCTTAGTTTCTATTTCCTATGCAATGGATTTTAGCAGAAAGTGGAGAGTGTGGCATGGCTGGCAACCCAGCCTCTGACAATCTTTTGTCTTCACCCACCCAGCAATGTCTGTATAAGCCTTTGCCAGTGAGTCCTGCTTCGGGGTGACCCTTTGACAGGTGCCCAGCCATGGTCCTTGGAGGGAGAGAGGGCAATCCTCTTGGGCAGTAATGCCCAGAATTTGGGATTCACTTCCCAGGGACATGTGGCTAGTGTCAACTCTGCTTTCTTTTAGACACTGGGTAAAACCTTTTTGGTTCAATCTAGCTTTTGGTTAATTTAATGTATAATGGGTCAATTATTTAATTTTGGTTGTTAATTTATGGGTTGTATTTTGTCATGCTGTGTGTACAATTTTATTATAACCTACGGATTTTACTGTTTTTATCTGTTTTATCAATTACATTTATTTGCTGTTTTCAGCATTTGTAAACTGCTCAGTGAAACTTCAGGTTATGGGGCGACACAGAAGTGGAATGAAAAAGATAAATAATAAACCCCTCTCCACAAGGATGAGCAGTCACTACAAAGAGTGGCACCCACTTTAGAGGACCTCCAGTTCATAGGCTGCAGATCCAGCCTGCAGTGGTCCACAGAGCCCCCTTCAATTCCTTCAGGGGACAAGGTTTGGTCACCAATCCCCACCCTGGAGGAATCCCACACTATTTGCTCCTCTCAGATTTGGAACAGGGTTGATTCTTCCTTTCCCAGGGCATTATTCTTAGCTCACCTTTTCAGGAAGAGCTCTGGAAAATGGCAAGTCAAAAAACCACACTCCCCGTCAGATACAAAACACGACAGGGCCTTTAGCAGTGGTGTAAAAGAAAAAATTACAAACGGTGCAGGTTCCGTGATAAAGTAATCAAATGCCCCCATCTACATAACTTTTAAAGAGGTAGGAGCCTGCCTCCTTTTGGTCACATCCAGCTCTTGCATCATTAACACCCTGCAAAGAAATGCTCCTCTGAACATGTGCAGAGTATGGGCCTTAATGTGAAGTAACCTCGTATTCTGCACATGCTTCTCCTTGCGTGTTCTTCTAGCGGGGGGAGGGGAGAGGCGCCCCCTCGTTATGTTTCTGGGACTGCGCCCCAGTATCGGCCGCGGCAATCTAGGTGAGGTAAGCGAAGGGCGGAGCACTGGCGAGGGAGGCGGCCGCGCCGGCTTTGTCCAGCAGGGGGAGCCGTCGCAGCTTCTCCCCGTCCCTCCGCCAGGCAGGAGGGGGCTGCCGGGGACTAGGATACACAATCGGAGGCGCCACCACGTAACCGGATCCCGCAGAGCCAGCCAGTCGCCGCCGAGGTTTTCTGCGGGAGCGCCATGGCCGGGTAGCGGGGCACTGGTGGGGGCGGCCACGATGCTGCGGGCGCCGGCGCTGGCGATGCGGCTCGCCATCCTTTTGCCATTGCTCGTCGGCCCCGGCTGGCCAGCGCGGGGCAAGGCGCAGCTGGGGGAATCTCCCAGCCCGCAGGGTGAGTGGAGGCGAGACGGGCGAGGCGAGAAACGGGGAGCGGGGGGGGGGGCGGCGGCGGCGGCGGCGAGCTCTGCATGCTGAGCGGGGTGGGGGGCGTGGAGGACGCTTCCGTCTCCGCGGCGAAATCTGGAATGCGCTCTCCATGGCGAGGCAGAATGGGTGGGGCAGCTTTGTGGGGTGGGCGCGCTACCTCAAAATCCTAGCGCTGCGTGTGTTCTCGGTCTCCCAGCCCAAGCGCCGGTGTTCGCATATTTCGCCGGATTTTGGCTGTGGCCCCGCTTTTCTTGGTCTGGTGTTTTCTCTTCTTCCCCAAAGGATAAGATGTGTGTGTGTGTTGTGGGATGGGGGTGGGGGGTCCATCTGGGTTCGTAGCTTCCCTTTAGGAGCCGCGGCGGATGCTTGAGCGCGGGGGAGAGTAGTGGAAAGCAGATGGGTGGGTCCGCGCGGATTCTTTCCACCCCCACCCCTCCTTATTGTCTCTCTCTCGATATTGGGAGCCCCATTGTCTACTCCAAGAGTGCTCGACTTGGAGGACGCCTTCCCAGGATAAAAGCAGGCAAAGGGGGTAGGAATCGCCTGGCTTCTTTTGGGGATACGGCCAGGACCTAGTGGATTGAAATGGAGGGTTGAGAGGAATGAATGTCTCGTCCTATAGCCAGCTTGAACCTCCTCGGTCTCTCCTCTTATCCTCATCTTTCAGCTTGCGGACAGCGACACGACATCTCCTTGCCCATCTCTTTCCTGATTCTCACGCTATTCTACGCACCCCTTTAGCCCTTTCCTTACATGGTAATCTGTTATTCTTCCCTATGTGTGCAGCCCCGCCAGGGTCCATCCCTGCTGCCTTGAACCTTTGTCTGCCTATTTCTGTCCCTTCACTGCCATGCATGTCTCTTCTCCTTTCTGTACCATCCATGCAGCTGAGTCTTCTTCCAATGAGACTGACTCGTGGTCCACACCCATTCTTCCCTTATACACCCTCTTTGACCTCTGTGGACCTGTTGTCTTGCATTTTATTTTGCTTCTGTAATTCGATAGATCTGATCATGTAAGTCCACACGTTCATGTATGATACTTGATATACTTGATGGATTGTGCCAAAATGTGTGAACTTCCAGCACTGTATAGAATTGTGCGTCTGAAATGACAGGAAATTTCTTCTTTGTAGTGTTTGATCCATGATGGTGCTTTGACACCTGCGTTTGTGACCAGGGCATGTTTGTCTAATATATTATTGTCTTTCTCATATGTGTTCCATCTATTAATCCCCCATACAATGTGTTTTTTCCCTTCTATTTATCTGTCTCTTCAATCCATCCCCTGTTTAGTTAGTTATATTTTTCCAAATACCATGGTGATGTAATTCCATGCCCTGATCGCCTCCTTGGCACCATCTCCTTTCCTTGGAAATCTTTGCACGGGACGTGGTCATGATGAATGCCTTTAAAACAAAAGGCAAAGGGCAGATCTCCAGATGTTTTGGACTCCCAGAAGCCCTGCCAGGATGGACAGCAATCAGAAATGCTGCCTACTCCTGCCTCAAGAGGCTTCTGTGAAGAGCTGCTATGGTGGAATAGTGCACCAAAGGGGAAAGCTGTAGTAATGCCAGATGGCAGAAATCAGCGTCCTGGAGGAGTGACACTGTGGAATTAAGAGGGGGCAAAGGGAAAGCGGTGTCTCTTTTTCCAGCTGTGGCTCCCAGCCATATATTAAAGCATCCACCCACCTGGCTGTTAGTGGCTTTTTGCACTCTTGCTGTTGGTTCCTGGGCCCCCATGATACAGTAGAGACAGAAGGACCATTTCTCCTCTTCAAGGCAACTTGTGGCTCTCCAGATGTGGCCTCCAGATATGGCCTACAATTCTCATCTTCCCCGGTCAGTGAAGGGGGTATCATGGGAGCTATAGGCCAAAATGACAGAAGAACCACAAGTTGCCTACTCCTAAATGACGGAGATGGAGAAGTCTTAATGTAAATGTAGAAGTTTAAAACTTTACTAGAGCTAGTGCTTGCACATTCCTGTATGCTTTTCCAAGGGATCTGTCACTTATTTATCCTGTTAAAGACAGAACAGTCTCACATTTCCATGTCTCTGTTTGTACCTGCTGGAACTGTTATTACCTTTTCAGAAGAGCTGACTCTCCCCCTTACCTACTGCCTGTCCTATGTCATTGTCACTCCTGATAGCCATTCCTGCCAATAATATGTTGGCAGTATCTCTGAAAAGAAAGTTTGGGCAATAAACTAAGTATCCCCTGAAGGGATTTCAAATCCATGTGTCCTTTTTTATTGTGTGGACCAAAGGGTAGATGTTATCATGGTATGGAACTGAACCAGTTTTTTCTAAAAAGGAAACTCTCTTCTGGATGTCCACATGCTAGTGTCATTGATTTGCTCTCTGTGGCTTGTTTGTTTACAAAGAACAGAACGAGAAAGAACAGCCCGTCACTGTGTGACTGGACAGATATGTTCCTCTTAGTCTGGGAAAGCATTCTACCATTAAAATTTTAGATTAGATCAATGGTTCCCAAAGTGGGCAGTACCATTCCCAGGGGCAGGGGGTGGAAAGATCCAAAGAGATGGTGATAGGTTGTTTTAAATTTGCAGTAGAGCAATTGACCTAATACAGAGAAAGAGGCATGGGGATTGTTGCCCAAACAACAAGGATTGTTGCCCAAAATGAAAAGAGGTGACAGCCCAAAAAAGTTTGGGGACCACTGGATTAGATTCTGTATGGGTTTTTTGATCAAAATACCTCACAATTCAGAAAAAGCAAACGCTATGTCAGTTTCTTTTTTTAAATGATATACTGTATATATTAATCATTTTGGCTCTTGTATCAATGCATCTTTAACGTTTATAAATTATAAAATAGAGTTGATAAAATACTGGGACATTTGACCTGCTAAGATTCTTTTACTAAGCCGTTTTTAAAAACAACTCCAATGTTGTTACTTTGGCACTGGGGTGGGCAAGATGTGGTCCATGAGCCACACACTGTTCTCTCCTGGCTCTCCATTCCCATCAAATTCATTGGCATTCCAGTGGCAGCAAAAAGCCCCAATGACTTAAAAGCACATGGGGAGCATGTGGTTTGTTGGGATGTAGAATTACACTCCCAGGAGTGTGATCCTGCTTGTGAACAATAAATGCTCTGTCCAAGCAACTTATTTCTTTCAAAAACCATGGGCAGGGGGAATGCTTGTGTTGCTGCCACAACAGTATTCAGCAGCAAAGGAGTCCCAAGAGGGCAGAGCAGCCCCCACTGCACCCATGGGACTTACCAAGTCCTGGCAGGCTATCATGCCTTAAGCTTCCAGTGCTATCGATGTGCCGGTCCAGTAGCCCATGGCAATGTAGTTCCACTGCCGTGTTGGCTTATTCTGCAGCCTGCTCTGCCAAGCCCCATTTCAAATTAAATTCTCCTTCAAAAAATAGTTTCTGTATCTACAGATAGTATTTTGTCCCTTACAACCCTCCAGTTTTCATGTTTTATTAAAAAGCTTTTAAAAAATTACAGCACTGCTTAATTTCTATGAAAATGCAGTTCTGAAGCTTTGAACTACCTGGGAGACCATGCCATCCGCAGTGGGACCCCTGCTCCTTAACCCGGTGCTTGTAGCTGCACTCATTTTGTGATCAGAGTGGAGGCGTGTTGCTTATGCTCAGATGCTCTTTACTTTTACTGCTGTTCTTCAGGACTAGGCCTGATGTTGAAAACAGATTCCAGAGCTGTGCTCTCATTAGACATGTTGCTTTCTGAGATTATGTGTAGAAGATGCGGCTGTCTCCTGTTTCATGTTCAAAAGCCCATTCAGCCTGCAGTTGAATCTTTCTTAGAGACTCACAATGTTGTGAGCTCCCTCCCAGCAATAACAGCCTCTCCAGTGCTTCTTGCCAAACATCTTTATTTTTCATGTTAAATCTCTGAGCATTCCCAAAGTGAAATGCTGAGCCCTCTGTGGCTTCTTCAGCCAAAACTTTGCGTAGGAATCCTTCTGCACCTGTCCGTGGGGGGAGGAACACTGTGGAACTGGGCACACCTCCACTCCTCCCTTTGAGATGCCAATTGGGCTGCTCTCCTGTGATGATGGTCTATTCAATATTCTATTCTATTCCCAGGAGGCCTGAGGGCACAGGACAGGCCACTTGGCACACAGCTGTCTCCTTCAGCTCCTTGCTGCCTCCTCCCAGCATTTGCCACCTTGCTCTGCCTAATGGCACTGCCAAAATGTAACTGGAAGAGCCCTGATGAAGAACTTGACCTAATGGCCAGCTCAGTTGCAAGATCTCTGAGTAACTGCAGACCAGTCTCTTGACCTCAGTTCTCCAGGTGCAACTGGGAAGCAAGTTTGCTCTCTCTCTGATTTTAGTTGATGGGAATTGGAAGAAAAAATACTGTAAAACTTGTGACACAGTAAAAGAACTATAAATTGCCAGTTCACTGCAATTTGGGATGATTTGGCCTTCCAAGATTTGGAATCTCTGTCTCTCTTCCTTAGCATTGAGTGAGGCCCTGAAGAGGGTCTGACCTCATTCAGTGTGGAGGAAAACCAAAGGTGGGAATTGCTGTAAGTGCTCAACATTCACATGAAGGCACCATACATTAACACAGCAAAGCATACAATGCTGTGAAGTTACTTTACCCACAAAGGAAAACTGCATCTTAAGGAATGAGAAAGGATGGGTCATAGTGATGAATACGTCTGCTACCATCTCTTTGACATCTGGCAGTTTCTCAGCTTGTGGCAGGTATCAGCTTGTGCCCAAAGCATGACCCAAGAACTGGATTTCCACACTCAGGTGTACAAGTTAACAACCAGAGTACCTGTGAAAAGGCATATGAGTCCCTTTTTCCCTCACCACTAACCACAGTCTCTGTAACTCAGATACTGTGGCACAGGTTGCAGGGCTGCTAAGATTGTGTGTGGCTTCTGGGGAGGTGTTAGCACCTATCCTATTACAAATTACTCATTCCACTCCATCCCTCCCAGGATT